GCTATTTTTAGCATACATGTATATCCGTGACCCACAACTTGATCGTAGCTACTTTTAAAATATATCTCTAACTAACAACACCGTGATCTTTATTAGCAATTTTTAGAATTTATATTCATGACCAACAACAACTTAACCTTAGCTTTTTAGAATATGTATATTTAGCACTTTAATTAAGGACTCCTGCTCCCAGTTACATGTATGACAATGAGCATAGTTATAGAGAACTGAAAATACTAAAATCTGTGTTTTAGCGCCACCCGTCAGGCCTCAGAGGACATATATAATTCATGTTTGTCATATGGCCTTCACTATTGTCGACTGCGTGGCGTTAACTAGAGTCGTGAAGTAAGGAGTTGATCTTTATGTCGCGGCTTCCAATCCCACTATGGGACGTGGAGACTGGTCCTTCGGATGAGTCCGTATAAACCGATGTCCCGTGTCGCAGTAGGTACTGGCACGAAAAAGATTCCTCACTGCTCAATGGCCCTAAGTGACGAGTATAGGACAAAATTTGAATCTCTCCACCGGTACGTGATGGCATCTCCACATGAGTGAAAAATTCTGTAGAGGGACGTTAAACAACACACAATCAATCAATGACACATTGATGTTTTTGTCAAATTGTGTTGAAAATGACTCAGCGGTTGAAATAAAAAGCATTAAAAGTTTACAAACGAAGCACGATGACCTACAAAATGGTAAGGCATAGGTTACTTGTGTCACTCAAGTGACCAAAGACAAATTAAATATGTTTTGAGATCAAGAACATTCAATTTGTGCTAGATATAGATTCTTCTTTTAACTTCATAAGAGGGCATATGACCTCACTAGCTGGTAAATTTTAAGGACTTTTGAATTTCTGGTTGGAAAGTATATAGAAAATTTAAGCACTAGGTTGGTAGTATTTGAGATGGGTGGGGTGACCTCTACAGTTTAGAAAACCTTACATCGATTTTCGAATTTGAGAAATTTATCCTTTTTCTTGTCAATGATTTTTTTCAAATAATAGCTTTATTTACTTGTCTGATTTTTATGCTGCCCCTCCCCAACCTTCAAAATTGACACTAAGTCTTTGAACGCATATCCATTCTATTTAGAATTTCTGCATGTGTTAAAAACTGTTGAAATGTTTTACAAGGGGTAAATGCTGTCTGATGAAATAAAATGTTTTATTCACAAAAAATTTGTTTCATTCCTGTGCTTGATCCTATGATTAAAAAATTTTATTGAACAGAGCAGGTAAACTGCATAATAACGTGGACCTTTAAATGTTACAGAAGAGGTATTGTGCCTCTAAATCTTATTCATGCCTCAAATATGTTCTTAAAATCTGATCAGTCTTATATATGAAAATAGATCGTAAATATATCATTTTAATTAACAAAAATACTAGAGACTGTTTTATTTACAGTCCTATGCATGACTATGGTATGTAAAAATATTATTTGAATTAATAAAAATACTATAGACTTATATTTTAAAATGCAAGCTAACTTTAAGACTCCTAATTTATACATAGCTCAAATGATTAAAATGTCCATTATTGAACAGGGCATGTAACTTTATGACTCGTAAGAAAATTTCTTTTGTAGAAATCGCGAGTCAGTGTAGATTATCAAAAAGGGGAGCATTATCAAAATCAGTGGGAGACCCAGTCAGTATATTACTTCCGTGTTCGAGTTAACAGATTAAGACAGCCAACTAATGTCCTATTTTTTAATATACTGGTACTTGTTTTTTTTATCAATTCTTGAGGTTTTTTAAAATTACTGACCTATCCTTTGAAAGGCGGTCGCAAACTGTTACGAAAAAAAATTCCTTTGGAATTTGCACAGACAGTACATTTAACGAGAAACCAGATAGCATTGATGAGACGTGAATCTAGTGAGGTCTTACAAAAGACACATTTGGAAAAATAATTGCGTAGCACAAGTATCAAATTTAAAAATATTCTATTTTAGTTGAAAATGAATGTGTGGTCGTTAAACAAAAATTATGCTTCAAAAACATTTTGTGATTGATATTAGACATGATACATGTTTCCCTGTCTTCTTGGTACAAGTACTATTAACAGTAACTGTTGTTCAAAATTTTACAAATAACGAATACAAAATTCACTTCAACTGAAAGGAGAATACAAGTCAAAAGGCACTCCAACCAATAGGAGAATACAAGTCTCAAATTAATTTAATAATTTTTAATCGATGTTTCTCTGCATAATTTTATTTGCAAGGTTAAAACTTTCTCACCTTTTAAAAACTTGTTTTTACAAATATTTTTCATAGTTTTTATATAAATGACATAGCAGTATTTCATTTCGATGTATTGATCACATTTTTAGACATGTTTGGGGCTTGCTTGTTGCCTGTTTGGTCGTATCAACTTTCATGGAAACAAGGATGTGTTTGTGAGGCACTTCACTCTGGAAGCAGCTTATAGCGAAGATTAAAGTTTCTCAAATGTAAGCCTAACTCGAAGGTCAAGATCAAAAGGTCAAAATGTTGGCATCAAGAGAAAGGTCTTTTTAGAAGGAATACACTGTGAAATACGAAAGCCCTTGTACTAATTGTTCAAACGGCATGGTCAAGGTGTAAGATTTTTTTTTCAAAGTTGATAAAACGCTAATGTAAAAATTAAAAAATATATATATCAATTGAAACGTATTGTCACAATAAATAAACACATGAAGTATGAAAGTCCTGGTTCCAACAATTCGAATGTTATGGTCATGATTAAAGTTTTTTTTGTTAAATTTGGTAATACTTAGCCATACTCTAAGGTTAGGATCAAGAGGTCAAATTTGGTGGCACCCAAAGAAAGGTTTGTCTCAAGGAATACACTTGTGAAATATAAAAGCTATTGTCCCATCCATTCAGAATTAATGGGTAAGTTTAAACTTTTTGCGGACAAACAGACAAAAAGAAAAACTGACGGTCAGGAGAAAAACTACCAGACAGGAGAAAATCTATATACTCCTGAAACTTCTATTACGGGGTCATAAAAAAGAGGCTTTGACATTTAGATATGATCATTTTTTTATGTAAATACTATTCGCTTACTTTCAATCAGTACTTAGCCTACTATAAATCATTTTTTATTCGCGAGAACATTATTTTCGCGTAATTACGCGAAACGTATACCTATTAGTATTCCTTAGGGTTATATAGAGCAATGACCATAATTTGTAAAAAAAAAAAAAAAAAAAAAAAAAAAAATTGTCTCGCTTAAGAAGAATTAATGCCTACTATTTTGTAGGACACTGCAAATGGTAAAATGAGGTTTTCATTCGATTCAACAATTTTCATCTTATAAATTGCTGTCTTAAGAAATTACTCATTCCTCGATTGGTTTGTTCCAAGTGAAAATTCTTAAGTGCTATTCAGAAAGAAAATTGGATCGGTAAAATTTACTGTTATATAAACCGCTTCACCTTAAATAGCCACATTTTTTCTCCATTTTAAGAATTAAATGGCAATTCGTGCGTCCAAAGAAAATCGTGATGAAGGAAACGTGCACTATTGTGTTACAGAACTGCGCAGTAGCTGAATAACCACAGCCATTGTTCATTGAAAAGCTAGCCATTTTAGAATTTTCCTATTTCGAAAGAACAGTTACTCTCTGATGGATGTACCCAAAACACTGAAATCGGATATATAATGACGTGTTGCTTAAAAAACAGATTTGTATAACAGAAATGTTATATGATGCTGAAAGGATCATTTGAACAAGTTTCTTTGTGTCAATTGCATCCTCATTTTTTAACATGAACGAAATACATGTACGACTCGTATGGCTGAAATATTGCAGTCTCGACATGAAGCAACAATATACAATCGATTAATTATCAAACATCGTTATAAATCAGGGGGTAAATATATATAAAACAGGAAAATATTTCATTTTTTCGATTATTTTGATATTTGCATTTTGTCTTTGGTTTGTAAGTTTGTGATAAATTTGAAAGTGATAAACGCGTACAAGCAAATAGTATTATTGTCTTCTAAGATAATAATAAATCTTCTTTCCATTATATATTTTTTATTTAAATGATTATATCTTCATGAAAATAATTGTGTATTTAGCTGTTTTTAATAATTTCAATTACGGGGATCTGTATACATTGATACTAACGATGAATTTATGATGATAGCAAAATTTAAATTCAAGAATTCGAATGAAGGCAATCCTCGTTTAAAAATTGATCAATTAATTTCCATAACATTCGCACCATAAAAACATACAAAGTTAAATTGGCCATAGAATTTTACAGTTTGTATGCAGTTTTATCTTGATTTTCTAGACTATGTATTGCGTCGTTTACTTGCTGACATTTAAAAGTTGAAAAATCACTCCTAAATTACTTAAAGATGTTGCTTTATTTGCAGTTTAACATTGTGTTGGATTCCTCAATAATAAAGGCCATTGATTCTATATATAAAAGTGTATTTAAAAAATTCAAGGGTTGTTTTTCTGCTAAAAGGGATTAAAAATTAACCATAAAACAATTTGAAGCAAATAGTGTACAAATTTTGAACAAGCAACAAATTCAAGGAACCTTTATAAAACGAAACCTAAACGAATTGATATCAGGAGCTAGCTAACTCATATATTATGCAAATCTCTTAAAAATGAAAATTTTAAATTAGGTTATAAAAGAATAAAAAAAACAATCTTATGTGTATTTTGTTTTTTCTATGTTAATCGAAAGTTCCAAATTGAATGTGTTTTTAGTTGAGAAATGGCAAACTTGGTCTGTGAGTGAAGAAAATCAATATAATTTTTTATGTGCCTTAATTTATTATACATGTACTAAAATTCTATCAAGTTATTGAAAAAAATATATATATTTGTTCTTTAAAAAAACTTTTGCTTCTATTTGTAAAACTTTTCTTACCCTTTTTAAATTTGAAACATTCTTGTTAAGAAAATCAATGTAAAGAAAAACTTTGGGGACAAAGACTTTTTTGATTAGTAATATAAGAAATAATCCAAAATACCTGTTTCTCTGCTTATCCACGCCTTTAAAACAGCACATGTGCAACAGGAAGGGGATTTTGAAATTGTCTAACTAAAAAAAAAACGTACACTGTGTAGTGCATTTAAAAAAGGTGTGTTCAACGATTTATGCGAGGTTTTTTCTTATCAGAAGGACCAAAATTCTCAATCTTAATCACAGTTAAACTCTTGATAATTTTAAAATGAAATGCCTACGATTTAACACAAATTTTAAAATTATTAAACAATAATTTTTAAAGGTTAAAATAAATATGTATATATTTTTTCACACACAATGTGCAAGAAATGGCGATTAGGTGGATCAACGAAATATGCATGCTTCTTATACATTTTAATATAAGCGAAGAAGGTAAAATGAAGCCAATTAAAATTTCATATCTTTCATTTACCTTTCAATTAATAAACAAAATATATTACTGCTTCGACTTTTATTTTTTCATCAAAGAAATGATATCAAAACAATGGAGTTTTGTTTTAATCCCGATAAATTTCCGTGTATTATTTGAAATTGGCCTTGCGTAAACGATAAAGGTATCTGTACGTGAATTTCCTTGGAATATTTCCGCAATAGAATAAGAGAATTCACACGAGTTCAATAAAACTTATTCCAAATGTAAACATTCACGACTAAAAATGCACTTGGAGGAAATTAAAAAAAAATCATTGGAGAATATGAAAAGACAAACACTCAATCAATCAAATATATTTCAAGGCGGCATAAGTTTGATCATTATCCAGTTAGATTTTGATTAACCTTTGTTTTTAGAAAAACGTTCCAGGGGTGCTGTAGTACTTTATAACGAGAAGCTGAGAAGAAAATAATCCCAAACAATGTAAACACTTCCTTGACCCACTTTATTAGAAATAAAAAGTCAAACAACAGAAAACGCAGCAAAAAACTCAATGAGTACTGGTTTTATAGCCTTTTATTACCCGACAGGAAACAATTCTCTCGGGTCCAGAACACGATGCTAGTGTTACGAGTGTTCGGAACTTTAAAGCACCCTTTGTTAATAGCTGATTTGGACGAGGTAACAGTTCTATTAAGCGCACAATAATTCATTTATGCCTTTCATTATATATGTTTTGTTTTAAATCAAACCAGTTTATATTTGAAAAATGCATTTATATATGTCACTATATTCACTATCGCTTTATCGTGCTATCGCACCGTCGTTATAGCATTGTCGCACCATCGCATCATTGCCATCGCACTATTGCACCACAGCCACGTCACCGCACCATCGCTTCCTCGTTATCACGCCATCGCATTATATAACTATTATATAACTATTACGCCATCGACCTTTTATTCCATGCTCAATGGTGCGATAGTGAACTGCATGGCCCTATCCGGATTTCATAGATTTTCGTTTGGAATGTGTACATATTTATTTCGTTTTTTCATGTTAATATCTTATATATAGAAGCAATACTTACTGTCTAAGTTTCCGGATTATCTCCCCTGTTCCATGCATCAATGAAAGTGTAAGGTGGATGATAAAATTGTCCAATTTAATTTTTCTACATGTATTTTAATAATGCTATATAATTATGCTTGACTTTCTATCATGGCCCTTTCTTCCCAATAAAGTATGACTTACTTAATTTGTATCTACACTATGCGATAACCTTAACATTTCTCTTTCCACTGGTTCATAAGATGGTCCTTTCCCGCAAGGAGGGCATATTTTTTGTGTAAGAAACTTGAATTCTCTTTAACGTACTAGGATTCTTTATAAATATTTTGATTTAGATTGATTATAGAGAAGAAATAGATAACGTAAAACTGTTTGCCACACCCCGGTTTGTTAAGGCAGCACACGCCGGATCAGAAGTCGGTGAATTAACACTTTTTTATAACATGTAACACTAATAAATCTGAAAAAGTCATGGATAAAAGTTTTGCTTTCATTACGCGTTCTATGGACTTCAATGGGACTTAAACTACACGAAGCACTACGACGTCACCACGTGACGTCTATAATCAGAAAATATGCCTTAATGAAAAACTGAAAAGTTCAACACTACCCTGGGATATTTAATTTCAATTGGTAATAATAGTTATGTAAAAACATCTCTGTACCATGAAGGGTGCTGCTAGAATCTCTACTGTCCTATCACAGAAATAATTATTCAAAACTTTCGGACGAAACCTTTCCAAATTTTTTACATTTTTAAGCGGTTAGCTTCGCTAACCGCTTTATGGCATGTGTCCGATTTTTATCGACACCGGAAACTTCCATAAGGCGCTACCTATCGACAACAGAAACTTCAACAAAGCCTCTACCTAGTACCTATGATTTATTTCTAACACATATAACATATGTTAAATAAATTCAAGACTATCAAAACAACATAATCTTTCGGTTTTTTATTTTTTTTTCTGATTTTATTTGTCAATGAAATAAAGAGGTAGGGGCTCCATGTGCGAAAATCGGCCCCAAATTTTTCGAATTTTCAAAGCTAGTTAATAAAATCGACTTTACTTATATTTCACAGTTTACCATCATTGCATTCCACAAATAGCAAAAGTTCGGGAGATTGACTACTTAGGACGTCATATTTGTGACGTAAACCTGACGTAATTTGGCAAAAATCATCAAAATCTCATAATTTTTGCCATAAATTGATTAAAAAAAATACCTCCGCACACACCCACCAAAACAAAATTTCTTGTAAATGTTCATTATTAACAAATCTATCAACAATTGAAGTATCGTATTGGTGGAGGCCTGCGGAGCATGAAAAATCGATCGATGAACGAAAAGCTTACCTGTCATTCCAAGTAATCAATTATCATAATTTACATCAATATAATTTCCAATAGATATGATATTGTGTTTTTATATCACCGTACATATTTTAAAAACATGTTTTAATATATCTACTAATAAATGTAAGAAATTGTTATCAATTTAGGACATGGTAGCTGAAATATGCAGTGATTTTTGGTATAATAATTCCAAATCAGTCCGAATTTTGCTACACTCACGCAGTCATTTACCTTATATACCGCTGTACCTCGCATTACACATGCACACCTGTGTCAATCCAACCTTTATTTTTAAACAGAATGGTTTGTGAATATTACATGCAAAAATAAAAAGGCATAATGTATTAATTAAACTCTAGCTTCAACAATATCATTCATAATTTGCTACCCTTTTCGAAAATCAACTCGTATGAAAACGATGCATTGGACTTCCCATCGAAGTCGTGACGTTTTTGCCTAATCAGTTGTGAATTGTTGATGGATAAAACACAATGAATTAGGTTACGATAGAATGAACTTCCATGAACATTATCTGTTTGATAACACCTAAAAATATACTTAAACAATAAAATGCTTTCTTTGTTTGTTGTTACTGGAATGAACGGAAGCAGCTGTTGCAGAAAAAATACATAACCTGCGTAAGCGGGTTATTTAATTTTTTTCTGCAATAGCTGCGACCGTTCATTCCAGTAACAACAAACAAAGAAAGACGTTTTATTGTTTATATTTATATCTGTTTAAATTATCATTTTAAGTAGGATTAAAAATATTAATTATTGTGTTAATGATGCGAACGTCTTTGTACGTTTCATTGATGGAACGGCCACTGATCAAGAAATCTGTACAGGTGATATGCCTAATGTAGTTTATGCAGGGATGAACGCAATGGGTTTTCTTAAGAAATAAAGAAGAAAATATTCAGTGGATGTAAATATAAAGTTATGACTGCTATTGTACCCCACTCCCTACAGTTTGGTATTATCTATTTTCGAATCACGTGTACAAGACTGCAGCTGAATTAATTGCCCATTCTGCACACACAATTTATTTATATACAATGTTCTATACGTGTAATAAATTAATATTGGTTTCTTTAAATGCAGCTTAAAGGGTATGTAAGTAACGATTTTATAAAACAAAGCGAAAACTATTCCAAAGTCAAAACCGGGTTAATATCGGTCAGCGTCAGTCATGTAAATACCACCGCCCCCCCCCCCCCCCTTCTTTCTAATGCGCCGATTTGTCGAAGATATCTTGTTCTATTATATGAATATGATTTTTTTTGTCAACTGGGACAACTGGCTTTCATATATTAAATATACTGAATTCTGCATCTTAATAAGTATTATATAACATTCACAGTTAAAATAAAAAAGATGATTCGAAATAAAATGAATGTCCCTGTAAATATTTGATCCACACACCACATTACAATTCTGCGTGTAATTTGTCTTTCATAAAAAAAAACTTAAGTAAACAGCGCAACAATTGAACACAATTAAAACTAGTGCTAATTGTAACGGGAACCGTTACAGATGTTCCCCAAACGCTCCCCAACTCCTTTTTGGTGCCATATTCCCTGTAAGCTTCATTAAATAAGACAAACTCTGTGCATTTTTGACTTTAACAACGTTTTCTCAGCAGGATACCAATTATATTCAAATTTTAGCATTGCACCCGTGCGCATGTGAATGCATGTGCGTTATGATCATATCATCTTGTCTACACTATCTACATATCTTAATATACAATATATTAAAGCATTCAGTCCAAAAAGTATGAAAAATCAATCTTTCAAACGTATTTTTCATTTCACTCGTTTCAAATGCACGCACGTGCGTGCACGTGCATGATGACCATACCTTCTTGTAGGAGTCCCTTATATCTATCTATATTCTAAATCCCATCCTGTTTGGTTGAAAAACAAGGGAGTTATAGCCATTTCAAGTTTAAGCCAATCAGATTGCAGCACACATGCATGCGCGTGATTTCATGATTTTTTTCTACATCATATTGTAGTATATCCTAATGCATGACTATCTTTTAAATTTCAAAGCATTTTGTCAAAAAACAAAGGAGATATAGCCATTTAAAGTTTCAGCCAATCAGATTGCAGCACGCGGGCATGCGCATGCTTTCATGAAAATTCTTATATATCACGCTGTAGATCTTCATAATGTAGGTCTATGTTCAAAATTTCAAAGGACTGTGACAAGAAACAAGAGAGATATTGAGACTTTAGTTTCAGCCAATCAGAGCGAAGTGCACGTG